ATTCTCCTAAATCCTGTTCATGTTTACTGACTCCTTATTACCCATATCATCGAATCAGCAACCAAAACTTTGATGTTTTTAAGGCCACTATAACCATCTATCTTATTCTTTCATGTTCCTACCTATCCTATTTGTTTCTCACTTTTTTTTTTTTTTGGTGTCTGCTTTACCTTACCACCTATATATAATGAGAGCAGGCCTATGTTTACTGTAGATAAATCCTATCCTTACCTGAAGGTCTTGCCCTTCATCAAAGTACAATCCAGCCTCAAAATGGTGCTTCACATTGCCAGATGCTCACATTTTAGTGCAAATAAGTTTTCAGATTCTCTTGGGGTGAGGGTAAATTTTGGTTGGGCAAGGATGAGCATCCCAGGTACCACTAAGGGAAAAAGTTATAAAGGATGGGCTGACACACTTCCCCTTCTCAATATGCCCAGGAATCACTGAACACTTACTCCCTGTTCCATTTATCATGGGTGCCTTCTCCTCCACTCTTTCTTTAAGCATTTCCTTGTCCATTTTCTAAGGTCCAGTTCATGCCCACAACTTCAAGGCAGCCACTACTCTATCTTCTCTCTTCTAACCTTCCACATTACCTACGGTCTGTCCTCCACTCCATCTCTAACTTTAATTTAGCACAGAGTCTCATACACCCCATTTTCTCCTTAATTTTCTGCACAATGCTCTTGAGCAGAGGTTGTGCCTGCTTCCCATTTGGTAGGTACTTGGGAAACCTGTGACCAATATTCAAGGCTTATCTGACTGACCAGTTGCCCTAATCAATGTCACTCTATGGACTGCTTCTTCAACTTCAGCTCTGCTAGTCTTGGSTTGGGCGGTACTTTATAACTTTGGGTAAAACATACATTCTAAAATGGTACACATTCACCTACTAAGTCTTTCTATTGATATGAACAAATTTAGGAAGAAACACCTTTGCCTGACACTCAGAAAAATACAAAACAACTATGCTTAGAAAACAAATAAGGGCAGAAACAAATCCAAAAAGAGATGATTCCTACTATTCTCATTTTACAGCCTGCATAAAAGTGATTAGGGAGATCAAAGTGAAGAAAGACCATCTTTTAAATATACTATTAACTGGGTTCTCATTCACTTAAAAGTTGATATTTCTGTCCAGGAGGAATTTAAGAACAGGGGTTACTGGAACTCATACTTCTTTTTTCCAAAAAATGTACAGGTCTTTGTACCAAAAGCAAGTCCCCTTATGGCAAGCTGGTCCACTGCTACATACCCAGGAAACACAGTTTATTTAAAAGTATCAGAGCAGCCCTCTCTGCCTTAGCTCCCATTCCCCCTCTTCTCTGGTTCAGGTTTTCAAGATTGTTCCTGTGCCTTGGGACAGATGTAAGCGTTCCTGCACAATTCCGCAATTAGGCAGGACATTAAGTGTATCTCCAAGAATAGACAAGAGCCCCAAGTCACTGGAGCTGGGGTATAGTGAACTTGGCTGCAGGTGTGCCTGTCATTCCAGATGACAGCGAGGACCTTCACCTTCAAGTCCTTTAAAAGGCAGCACACCCCAGACAAAGTACTTAGCTACAGGGAAATTAACTCCAGAGGTTTAAAAGGAAAGGCGAAAACAAGACMGGAAGAGGCTAGCTGCCCTGCGAAGCACCTGCCTCCCAGTCGCATTTCCAGGCCGGGCGCCCTGTCGACGGCCCCTGTGGGAGAGAAGCTCCCGCTACCTGGCGTCGGGCTCCTCCTCCGACTCGGCTGCAGTCTCATCCTCCTCACCCTCCGACTCCTCCTCAGTCTCCAGCTCCTTGGCCGCCTCCTCGTCCCYGTCGGAGCCGAGGAAGCTGTYGGTGGCGTGGTTGCTGTCGCTGCTMGCCATCGCGTCTCTCTGGGCCGGAGTCGGAGCCGCCCGCGCCGCGCCTGGTGTTCTCCCTCTGACTGCGCCTCTGGCCCGGGCCCGTCCCTGCCCCGGCGAGGGCGGCTCGGGTTCCCAGCGCTGGGGGCGGGTAAGCCCCGCGACTTTAAATAGAAGGCGTCAAAAAGTTTCGCCACCACCAAGCTTCAGGGGCCCCGGCCTCAGCCTGTCCTCTTCCCCGCCTGTGTGCCAGCTTCCCCGAGCCCTCCCCTGCCGGTTTTGGCAGACTGCTGGCGGGCTCTTTCGACAACTGGAGAGTCCCCACGTCAAGGCGCGCGGGCTCCAGTGGCACCTGGGCTTCAAAGGAGGAAAAGCTCTTCAGCYCGATCTCCCTTTCCTTCAGAGCCAAATATTTCGATGAGCCTTTTCTCCCCAACAACAGTCCTTCCTGGGCAGAGAGCTTGCTAGTGTGAGGTACTGTCGAGGGTTATTGCAGAGCTGTGAGGCTCTGGAGAGCTTATGGTTCCACTGCTAGTACAGAGAAGAAACAACACTAGGTCTCTGCCCAATTAGAAAGCTGTTTTGAACCATTGTTCAATATTGGCTCTCTTTACAATTGTGTATTCTTTCTGTGGCCCCTGATTGTTCAACCAGGTCATTATTTCAACTAATTTTAAACCCACACTAGCTAAAGGCAAAGTTTTGTCTGAAAATAAGGCCAAAGGTCCCCAGACCTCATTGGATCTTGTGAAGCCAGTGCTTCAAATGTCCCCACTACTCAAGGACTAAAGCAGGAGAGCCTCATGCAGATAAAATCCTGACAGCTCACATCTTATCTATTTGGTCTCCTCTTTGGAAGTCAAGGATTCTCAAAATTTATACCACACATTCTCTCTCACATGTGAATGTAACAAAAAGTCAATCTGAATGTAGAATAGTGATTACTAGTGGCTAGAAAGGGTGGAGGAGAGGAAGATGGAGGGGCTTGGAATAATGGGTACCAAAACAGTTACATCAAAGTTCCAGTGCTCCACAGCACAGAGGGATGACTGCATTTCACAATAACCTATTACACATTTCACGAATAAGGGACTTGAAGAATAGGGCTTGAAGCTTCCAAACACAAAGTAATGAGAAGGAAATAAAAATAATAATTACCTTGATTTAATCAACTGTACCCCATAAATATGTACAATTAAAATAATAAATCTCCTTCTGAATTCCTGATGGCACAAAAAATCTATGCCTTTTTTTAAAACAACACTGAAAACACAATATTAGCAAGGGCAATAAACCAGAGATTACAAATAGGGAATGTAGGACGAAGTATGTTCCTGTTTTATTTTCTAATTGGTCTTGAAAATAAAAATCTAGATAAAAAATTTTTTAATTGTATGAAATCATTACTCAATACCTTTACCTACACAATTTCTTCTATCTGAAAAAGTTCTTCCCATCTCTGATTACTGATAATTCAAGATCACCACCTTTTTCTGAAATCCTCAGGTTAAACTCAGTACTCCTTTTATGGGTTCCCATATGAGCTTACATTTCAAGTATTTTGGTATCTTTCCCCCAGTAGAATTTAGACATTTATTACCTATCTTTGTCCCACAATCCCAGCTCAAAAACTGGCAAACCACCTAGCACACAGAACAAACCTAGAGAATGCTCCCTGAAGAGAACAGGACCAGAGCTGTTGAGTATGCACAACAGGTACAGATATCTTTACAATGCAGAAAGGTATCATTCTTTTTATGAGAATGACTTTATAACTAGAATGGCAAATACTGGGGACKGGGGTAGGGGGTATTGGGGATTGAACTCGGGGGCATTCAACTACTGAGCCACATCCATAGCCCTATTTTTTTGTTTGTTTGTTTAGAGACAGGGTCTTACTGACTTGCTTAGCGCCTCGCTTTTGCTGGGGCTAGCTTTGAATTAGCAATCCTCCTAACCTCAGCCTCCTGAGCGGTGGGACTACAGGCCTGCGCCACAGCGCCAGGCCAAACACTTATTTTTAATCATAGCAGATTCTATTCACAGAATTGTTGAATATGATGAATGGAGGTTTGGTATTTATTATTCTCTAGTTATGCCAGTTTGTATGTATATGTTTGGTCTGTGGGCAAAGAAGGGAAGACAAGTCAGATACACTATGGAACTAACAGCTTAATGGGCATAGGAATAGAAACAGAAGAGTCCAGGCTCCCAGGTTTTACTAAACCTGGTTTAACATTAGGTAGGCTTTCCATTAACAATTCAAATGACCATGCTCACCTGGGACAAAAAGAATTCAATTGCAGTTGTGGGTATCTGCTAAAATCTAACCTACTGGTAGCCATTCTGCTTCTTCAAATTCACTCAGAATTTCTCAGGAACACTAAAAAGTCTAGAAAACTTATTTGCAAAGAACCTAGCTTGAATTAATCCAAAATTGAGAACTGCAGTACAGAGTATAATACTTTAACAATACATGCAAATATATAGGAAATGGGGAAGTCAACACAAACAAAATAATTTAGTGTTCACTGCACAAATAGCTAAGAACAAAATTAAGTCTAAAAAAATTCTTTCATATATTCACAGCCCACTTATCTGTCCCATTTGAACTGTCACAAAGTTCATAATCTTAAGTGTCAGCCCACTGATCTAGAATGAAAGTTGATTAACTTCTTGATCTAGTGGTAACACTGAATCAGCTGAAAATGAATAATAGTGTAGGGTCACTGAAAGCTGAGAAAATAGTGGCAGTGAAAGAGTTCACACTATGGTAAATTCTGGGGCTTTATTAGGAAATGTCATAATAACTGCAGAGGCAGAGCACCTTACACACACCCATCCCTGAGAACTGTACAATATTACTGAACAATAAGTACTATGACTATTGTTTGTAATGATTACCCAAAGTCATCACCTGAATACTAATTCTACTCAATTCATTTTGATAAAGAAGAATTGTACAATGTATAATCAATTTCAGGAAAAATTCCAAGAATTCATATAAAAAGTTCAACTGTATCAAATATTACACATTAGTAATCTTAAAAAAAAAATCACCTACATGGAAAGCTTCATTCCTAATGGCAGAAAAAATAAGGTATTAATATGGTTAACTGGCTTTAACCATGGATGAACTTAATTCCAAGATTCTCTGTATTAATCTAAATAATCAAGCACAACAATTGAACTCAGATCAGCTCTAGATGCTAACTATAGCCCCAATCTCATGTCAAAAGCAAAGATGTTCACAGAAAAACAATTTCCATATATAAACTTTATTCCATTTGACGTCATACAAAAGTTTAAACTTAAAGAAAATGAAAATATGCACCTTTTACATGTCAAAGAAAAGCAAGTTTTAGCTTCTGAATTGGCTTGCAAAAAAAAATACTTAAGAGGTACAAACTGTATTACAGTAGGTCTAAAAGAAGTTGTCTGCAATCCTTTTAAAAAAGTTAAAAAACTGTTTTCAATATTTTTTTAATATTTAAATTTACAGGCACTGGCCAATTTACAAATATTTACATAAATTTTAAAAAACCTTAATAAACACTGTAACTTTTTAAGCAGCCACCACTACTTCTTTGATGTGGAAAAGAAATACTACAAAAGATATTTTTACAAACATTAAGCTTTTATTTATATTTTTTATGTCTATCTAAAACTTTGTAGTGGCTTACTGCCTAAAAATTCCAGTTTAGATTACAGTCCTATAATTGTACATACACATAAAATCTGATTCTACAAACAGGATATAATCTTAACTTTGATGCTTCAGTTTCTGTTGCTTCTTGTCATCGGAAAAATAAGCAGGAAACGGAAGTAAAGCAAAAGTGCACATTGCACTAAAGCACAGGAAACTTAATCTTTTCAAAATGTCTACAAATAGTCCTTAAAACAGTTCTTAACAATTCACTAACTGCTCTAAGAGTTAGTGCTTGCATTACTACAGTGCAAAATGTGTTGTTATTTCAACATAAAATCTAAAGCAATCTCAAAAGTAGATCAAAAGCATGTGAGGTACTAATGAAATGCTAATAAAGACACTCAAAGCCTCAATCTGTCCCTGGGAGGCAAGTGAAGATTTAAGACAATTGTCCAGTATTTCATGACACTGCAGTGATTTCACTGAAATAAAAGATTTCATTTTGCTTCAAGTAACTGAATAACTGACTTGAATCTTCACTTTTTTAGAACAGACTTAGACAACAATCTATCTGTTGTATATTACACTTTAAGCATGTACAAATGAGATCCTTTCCAAAATTCCACACAGCTCTTCACTCTTAGTATGTGGTACAATTAACTGAAATTGTATCAAAAACCTTTTTATTTGTTCAGGTAATTTCCCAAAATATATTTTATCTGATTGCCTGAAAATTCATGCCATAATATTACTAATCATCAATGTAAACATCTTCAAAAATACATTTTTTAAATCAGACTATTTTATTAGGAAATGTCATAATAAAATATGCCATCTTTATATAAGTATGTCCTTTTAAAAATAAAACAGAAACAAGAGGAACAATTAAAAAGAAACCATGATAGAGGTAAACAAATGCATTATGCTGTAACTATTGTTCTTTATTTCTCAGAAGAATTTAAGAAACAGAGGCCAGTTATCTTTTCAGGATAGCAGCTCTTAAAGGTAGTATACTGTTCAAATCTCTTTTGTTTTTCAATCTGTGCCATGACTGGGAGAGAGAGAGAAAAAAATCATTCTTAAAACATAAAATATATGCAGAATATAGAATAAAAGACAAAGAATGTTAACAGTGGTTTTTTTCTGATGGTGGAAAACTTTTGGGTAACTTCTTTCTTCCTTGTGTTTTTATTTCCCAAGTTGTTAACATCATCCAAGTATTGTTTTTGTAGCCAAAAAGAAAATGTTATTTTAAAATTCYATACCTGTATGGTTCTAATTCATTAATTTAAAAGTGCAAAAAAACCATAAAAATAAAAGTACACATGCAGGTGGTACAAAAAAGTAAAACTGACAATAACAACATTCACAGACTTAATACTTTTGTCTAAAATAGGAAGACAATTAAAACAAAACTTTTGGATTTGAGAAGGTAAGAAAAAATTACTTCAATTAGTTGATAACTTATTCATGTCTTTACTAGCTTTTTCAATTACAAATATTACTTATGAAGGACAGAGTAAATCTAAAAAAGGCAATTCAYGTATGCCCCTGAAAACAAATAATGAATGGAACTTAGTTTTTWTAAATCCTGAAATTCCTGTTTACARGCTAAAAATCTGGCTCACTACTTTAATTTATTCTCATAATGGCTCCAATGACTAAAAATATTGGTTTTTCAGCTACGTAATTCTAAATGAAAAGCTCACTCATCAATAAGAACAAGGTAGCAAAATGCTACTTCTGAGTTCTTAATCTGACAGACAAAAGTATTCCTTCTTAAGTATCTGTTTTAAAATTAAAGACATTCTATGCTGGGGTTGTAGCTCAGTAGTACAGCGACTGACTAGCATGTATGAGGCACTGGGTTCGATTCTCAGCACTGCATATAAATAAATAAAAGTCCACCAACAATTAAAAGAAAAATAAATTTTAAAAAAATTAAAGTCTGTACAACAAATTTTCTATTCTGGCTGACAAATTGAGAGGGCCTAGTTTGAAGGATAGCTGATAATATAATACCTGAATTTTAAGTTATCATTAAAATATACTTCTATACTTATAAAATGATTTTCACAGTTCTCTGATCTTTTTCTTCTATTAAGCTTTTCCTCCATGTTTCTATTAATGCACTTCCCCACATATGGTGGAATTTCATGAAGACAGGGACCTTGTCTAGCAACACTAGTAATAAATTCACACTGAAAACATATACAAACATATATTTTAAAACTTTTCAAAATATAAACAAGGATAAAATGGGACTTTAGTTCCTTGTGACAGTGAAATATGCAAGAAAAAAAGCATGGATTAGACAACAGCTTTCTTTTAAGGATATAAAAAATACCCTGATATTTTAGGGAAGGAAAGGAATCCATTAGGCTTTACTCATTATTTTGTGAGTTTAATAAGCTCCCTATAAAAATGTTTATTTCTTAAAAAAAAGAAAGTCACATGTATGAAAAGAGAGCCAGCTTTCTCCGAAGGCAAAAGTATATCTATATTCAAGTAATAAATTCCCTATTACATTATATTAATGGTTTCACAACAATATATATTCATTTTTACAGCATACTATTCCACTAATGTTTATAGAGTTAATTTGATGCACTATTTACCTTTAAAAATTGATCCTTGATTATGTCAAACTTCTGTTTTTCATGCACAGCTCTGGCTGTATTAGTCCCATCAAAAGGTTCTGCAATGTTAAATGCACATATGAAAAATAAATTCTTAAAATGAGAACTTTCCCTTTTTCTTTGGGGGGGGGGGGCGGCTGATGGTGGTGGAATTCAAACTCAGGGCTCACCCATGCCAGGCAAGTACTCTACCACTGAGTCATGTCTCCAACCCTCCAAATTTTTTAGATTATGTGAAATTGTCAATATATGATGGGTTTTGACCTTTGAAAACAGCAATTTCATATGGCTCAACCTAATATCTTTATTGAACTTATGCATACAAAAAAGTTTCATACAGCTATTAGCTGTCTAATAAAGATAGAATTCAAGTAAAATGACTAAAAATGAAAGTTATCAAAGTAAGTTAATTCTAAATCATAAAATTGGATAAGATTTCTGAAGAATTACAGAGGGTCAAGTATCTACCCTAAGAGGGGAGAAAGTTAAAGAATAAAAAGTTATCGAGGTTAGGGATATGGCTCAGTGCCTCTGGTTTTAATCCCCAGTACCAAAATAAATAAACAAGTACCACTCTATTCAAGAGAGGTACCCAATGTCAAATGTCACAGGAAGGTAATTTGAAGTTTAATTTTAATTTAAAAGCTGATTTTGTCCAGCAGAAGAAAGGTCAATAAATCTTTAAAGCAGAAGTTCAACACTGGAGAAAATGAAACATAGTGTTATGTTATGGTGTAGTGTGTAGTTTAGAAAGAAATACAGTGAGGATATAACTTCTATGAGAAATTTAGTAGAGAAAGAAGAGAATCAGAATAGGAGACAGGAAGAAAACAAACAAAAGTTTATGTTTTTCCCACATATCTACATTCCATGTCCAGACCCACCTTCACCCATAAGATAAGGGAGAAGAGTCCATATTTGGAAATAAATGACAAGAGGACAAGGAAACTGAAGAAGGATAACTGAAGTCATTAGGAGTGAGATTGATTGGGAGCAGAAAGCAAAACTTGCTATAGATTAAGAATCTGAACCCTGTAAAAGARGAGGGAAAGTACTTAGAAGAACCAGTAGGAATATTTTTCAATATTTTTCAAAGCTAAGAATATTTTTCAAAGATGAAAATGCCTATAAATATCTTAAAGCTGAAAGAGAGAGATGGGAGAGAAAAGGAATGAAGTTGCTAGAAAGAGAAATGGTAGCTGAGGGGAAAGACCTGGAAAAACTGTGAAAGGAAATTTGATAAAGGGTTTTGCTTTAGATTACAGTACTATAATCCAAGCAGGCCTATAATCTTAAAAGCTTCTTTATTTATTTTGTATTGCTTAGAAGGGCTATTTTGTAAAGGGTGTTTATTGTCACAGTTATTATGTTTTTTTAATTTCAAAAAAAAAAGGACAAGGCCATATGCCAAAGTATAGTGAACCACATCATACACAGTACTTTATAACAATGTTTAATATTCAAAAGAACACAAGTAACTAAAATAACATACACTCTCTGTAAAATTTATTAATAAACCAAATACCAAAGCAGATTTTAATTCCTATTCACAAACTCAAATTTTAAGATGTTGCATATAATTCAAGACTAAAATATTCTAAATCTAATGTTTTCTACAAACACTGATTCTCAATTCTTTTCTTTTTTATCTTGAGATTTACAAAGGTCTTCAGTTTGGTATCTATGCAAACAATTTTGCCTCTTTTTTTCCTTTTTCTTTTTTTGATGCTGGGAATCCAAYCCAGGGCTTCATGCATACTAGATAAACTCTCTATTATGCCTCTTAAAGTCAGTTTACCACTGACTCAAAGAAAATGTCTCAGCTACACATAAATTAATTTTAGAGAAAAGAATTTACTTTCACGTTAATTTTCATAGTAAAATTAACTTCAGAAAAAACTAGTTTGCATTAAATAACAATATTTTCAGTGTCAAATACAGATCATTTCATTTCAATAAGAATCATCTACTATGATATTTTCTCCTATCTGTAAATCATGACATTAAGTTTCAATCAACCAAAAGTAGGAGGAATGCACAAAGCCTGTTCAGCTCGTACCAACAAAGATTACTCAAATTCATGTTTATTATTTCTCATAACTAAAGAATTTGAAATGATTTTTTAATTAAAAATTTGAAACTAGAAGACCTGTGAATCACTTCAAGACATAAATAAATATATTACTTTTAACTGCAATACAAGCTGAAATTAGTCAAGTAATTCGGTACCATGATGATAACTGGATGGTAAATAGAGTAATCATGGGAAAACTACCTTCTACACAGATGTATTTATTTCTCCATTCAATACCATCAGGCCTTGGAATGGCTTTGGCTTCACGAACTGAAATCATTTGACTATTCCAGCTATAAGAAGAAAAACATTAAATCATGTCAAGTATTTTCATAATCTCCTTTTTATTATATCTAAAGTAAGGCCAACCCTGATTTTCTTATAGAATAATGAAATTTGCCTCAACCATCAGCATAATCTTTATTTCCCTTCTCTAATTTTTTTCTCTACAGCACTTACCTTCTAACAACTTGCTTATATATTATGCTATTATTTCTTGTGTGCTTCCCAAGTAGAATGAAGTCTAAGATGCTTAGATATTTATCTTTATTTCCTACTGTTCATCTAGTTACTAAGTACATACAAGCTATTCAATACATGTTTACTGAATAAATGAAGTAGTACAAAAAAACTAAAAAACTTTAAGTAATCAAAAAATTATATTCACTGCTCATACCCAAATAAGAATTTTTTTATTTGTTAAGAGAAAAGCAATCTTCTTGTGTTGTTTTCTGGTACCATTTGTTCAGGTATATCTTGTATGTCTTGTGAGAAATTTTTAAAATTTACTTTTAAATTTTTAAAATTTCTAATAGAAGCATGTAGGTATTGTTTTAGGAAAACAAAATTGAACTCTATGAAAACAATGCTATTGCCACATATCAGACACAGCTGTCAACAGCAAAATTTTACACAAGAAAACAACTTTATTGGCACAGCTAAAAATAAATCATCTGATCTTTAGTATACACCAACTTTATACTTTGTTTCTTAAAGGTTTAAGAAGTTTTCACATTTCTAACAGTTATTACAAGCATTCTTTTTTCCAAAGGAACATGTTAAAATATATGACCATTCTATACAAGAGAAAAATAAATTTGAAAAATAGCTCAAATCCTTTTTTCAGCAGTATTTAGCTTTCTCTACCATTTCAGCAAGCAGAGAAAGACTACATCTTGGAACCTTCCGATTCCAACACTCACCCTACCCTTCCTCTATGTAACAGAGGATCCATGAGAATATAACCACAGGTCCAGCATGCCATTTGTTTCTGGAAATGTCATAAATTTCTATATTAATTAAGAAAAATCTTGTATCTTCTGAAGTTTAATAATTTAAAGCATGTTACAAGTATAATTTTCTATATTGTTTTATCAAAAGTGGTATAGAAATATTATAAAGGGATTTTAAGTCCTTTAAATATATGTGTGTCTGTGTGTACACATATATAATATCATTTATATGCACACACACATCTGAATTTATACATTTTAAAAACAAGTGAGATTCAGGTGTAGTGGTACAAGCCTGTAAACCAGCTACTCAGGATGCTGAAGCAAGAGTATCATAAGTTCCAAGCCAGTCTGGGCAACACAGCAAGACCTTATCACTTTCCTCATGCCACACACAAACACACACACAAAATGCGCTGTCAAATGAAAATAATATTAGTTATTGGTTACAGCAAACTTTTTTAGATTCCTCATGTACTGCAGTTCCAGAAGTATGAACTCCAAAAAAATAATAATTCTGATCTATTGCTTTAGATGTTTCTTAAAAATTAAAAATATAAGGGGAAGAGTTATAGAACCATAACTGAACTAAACAGTTATAATATTATACTTTGTATTATTTAAGAAAAATTTCACTAACAAAATGAACTTTCTCCTAGGATGATTTCTAGTATCAGCTTAAAGGGAAATTGTATTTGTAAACATTACTTTTAAAATGCACAGATTGAWGTTTTTTTTCTTTCAGAAGAGTTTAGAATATTAAAATATAGAGCTGTAGGTACAGCTMAGAGATAGAGCACTTTACTACCTGGGTTCAATACCAGTGGAAGGAAGAAGGAAAGGAAGGAAAAACTACTAAAATACTATCCTGCTGTTAAGTTACAACTTTTGTTTCTTTAAACTAAAGGAACTCAATTGTCAACACTAAATTTCTATTAAATTCAATTCTGAATTTACATTAGATGCCACTACCCGACTACTTGGTTCTAAACTGGGTCACAAAAACCTATGCAACACATATTCATTTAATTGATTATCCCTAATCAGGTATCATTTACGCTTCAACTTACAATCAACCCAAGTAATGCAGTTATTTAAATGACTATATCATTTGAAGTACTTCAAAGAAAAAAAAAATACTTTGAATCACTACCATTCAAACTGATTAAATCTACTCATTTTCAACAAACTTTTGAATATTTTTAATTATTAACTATTTCAAATCATTAAAACATAATATATAATTTATTTACTCTAAGAGGTAAATTTAAATGTAGAATGTCAATGGTAAATTAAAAAATATTTTCCTTAAATATTTCATTCTTTAAAACACATAAGGCAGGGCTGGGTTGTAGGCTTAGTAGTAGAACACTTGCCTAGCATGTGTGAGGCACTGGATTTAATCCTCAGCACCACATAAAAATAAATAAAACAAAGGTATTGTGTCTATCTACAACAACAAAAATACAAAGACACACAAGGCAGCCAGGCATGGTAGTGCACACCTGTAGTCTCAGTGACTCGGAAGGCTGAGGCAAGAGAATATCAAGTTTGAGGCCAGCCAGGGCAACTTAGTGAGAGCCTGTCTCAAAATAAAAAAAATTAAAAGGGCTAGGGCTGTATCTCAGTGGTAAAGCACTCCTGGATTTAATCCCCAGTACAAGAGTGTGGGACTCCGGGGGGGACAGAGACAGAATACAAATATACAAGCCCTTTATCATACTGATCTATTTTTGATCATTATTTGCTTACCATGTGAAGCACTGATTATATTGATTATATTTCCTAGAATCCTTAGTGATCCTTGTCCACTATTTTGTCAGTTCATAGTTCTCAATGAATCTGTGAAGCCTAACTTCATTTTAAAAAATTTTAGCATAGCAGCACAATGTGAGTGAAGTGGGTAAGAAAAACCAGTCATTTTTATTTACTTATCTTTATGTTATTTATTTATTTAACAGTTGGGGGTCTGGATATATTGCCTTATCCGGCCCTGATCTGAGCTCAAGCAATTCTTCTCCCTCAGGAATCAGAGTAGCTGGTATTACAGGCATGCACCACCATAGATGTCTAAAGATCCATAATTTTTAAATGGCTATAAAACCTTCTACAACGTTTATATCATGTACTCAAAGCATTCCTTACCAAGCATTTAATTCTTTGTCTTTAAAGAGAATTTTTAAATTGAATATCTCAACATACAGAAGAAATCGATCCTCAGCACCACATAAAAATAAAAAAATAAAGGTATTGTGTTCAACTACAATGAAAAGAATATATTTTTTTTAAGGGCTTTACTTTTTAGAATCTGAATAACATTTCTTCTTTCATGTCCCATGTTTCAAATCATCTAAGTCAGATTTCTTTAGAGCTACTTGTATCACATCAGAAAAAACAATACCAATATTGCAGTGTATCACAGTTAAGTGTGAACTGTGCAAACTATCTGAAACAGTACCCTTATAAGGTATGAGATCTTTCAGTGAGTGATTTCATCTCTCTTACTTCATATCTCTCTAAGCCTCCCTGGTAAATTATGAGGACATCATATAATACCACCTAAAAATAGTTACTTTGTAAACTTAATRAGATAATATATATAATCTGCTTAGAAGCATTTTCGCACTTACTAATAGTAATTTATAATTATTGCTATTCTCCTCTCCAAATTCCTTCAAAATGGTTTAAGGTTCATTGCACCCTCCTCTAATTTTGTATAATTCTCAAACTACTCTTCTTCCTTCAAATTTTCCCAGATTGATCAGAAAAGCAGCAAACACATACTATCCTCATTATCTCTGGACTTAGAATTCCCAAAAGAACTTTCTCTTCTGTCTGGACTGATTGTGCACTTTGTCTCATGTTTATATATTGCCCTCAAAACAAAAAAGGAGAAAAAGATGTTTCCTTATTTGCCTATCACACTAACAAAACTATTAATCAGATAGCATGAATTAAATAAAAAATTTCCAAGTCTATCTTGGCTGTATTTTTAACTGCACATTTTAAGTTCCCAGAAAATGTATCTGTTCCAATCTACAAAATACCTAAAAGACAGGACCCATAGAGACTCTTTYATGGAATGAGGCAGCAAAACAAAGTGGGAACATGAATAAAATCAGCTAAAACTGGGCTTATTAAATGGAGCTTATTAAACTATAATCTTGTTATTAGTTAGAATTATTAGATCAATTTAGCATCTAATATAATTAAATATTAAATTTCATAAATTACACATTTCTGAATATGCTTACAGCACTATAGTTGACAAATAGAGCTTCTGACCAAATTTGTAGCATTCACTTACATATAAATGAATAAACACAATTTAAAGTTTTACTTACTCAAACTCTGTAGCATAATATTTAAGAAAGCCCAGTAAGAGGTCCCCAAGACTTGATTCATTCTTTGAGAGGTAAGGAGGAACATTACATGGAGCTTGATGTACAAGGTGCAGCTGTATAGCAGGACTGAAACATTCCTGTTAAAAAAAAAAAAATGTAAAGCCATTTAAAACATTTACACTAAAAAACTTAACAAATCCTAATGCAAGTTGAGGAGAGAAGAAATTTTCTTTTGGTATCCAGGGGTACTCTACCACTAAGCTACATCCGCAGCTCTTTTTATTTTTTATTTTAAGACAGGGTCTCACTAGTATTGCATACTGGCTTCAAACTTGTGATCACCTGCCTTAGCCTCCCAAGTCATTAGAATTACAGGTGTGTGCCACTATGCCTGGTGAGAAAAATTCCCTTTATATTGGCAATTTGGAAATTTGAAGATTTTCTTCTAAAGGTTTCACCAATACTTGGAGTAAGCCAGAAATTACCCGAAAAACTAAGATATTCTAATTCTTGGCTCAGGTATATCATTAAGTTAACATTTCTACGGTAGCAGAAGATTTCTAATTCATAAGTAAAATTTTATTATACATACCATGATTCCTCCCAATCATATTAATATTTTCATAAATCYATCTCCTTAATTATTTCTACAAGGAGCAGATGTACCTTAGGTATAAAGGCTATATCCAAACACAAATTAAATAATTTTCCCACTGCCACTTAATCTTTTTCTCAAAGGCCACAAAAATAGCTTTAATGTATAAATAGTACTTATGCTGATTTAAGATTTTTAAATTTTTGTTTTATTCTGTTTTTATATTTTGTTTTTTAGAGGGAAGAGAAGATAGACATTCAACATGAACTTGAAAAGACAAAGGCAAGGAAAAGAAGATAATACACATAACGAACAATATATTTAGCAATACTTTTATCACAGTATTTATCCATATCAACTGCTTGCAATCCAGGTCCAAATAAGACATTTATCAGAAGGAATACTAATGGATACTTAATGTTTGGCCTATGGTATATCATTCACTATCATATCTGTTCTTCCTCTACTAGCAGCAAGTTCTGAATATGAAGAACTGCATATGAATATAAGGTTTTCAAGTAATATCTACCCATAAATTAAAAAATTATTTTCCTAAGGTAATTTGCACAATGCCATTGAAAATGGCTTTCTGCATTTACCCACTGCCATCACAGCAAAAATGAATAAAATTTATAAAAAAGCAACTGAGTAAACTGGGTAATGCAGCAGAATAACTAAAATGAGTTAAGGTTACTATTTAACAGATTAACCTTGGGCTTATAGATATTATTTCAACTGAAACATCTAAGTAACTCTAAAAAAATTTAAGCTTCCTTATCATTCAATACTACTCCTCAAAAAAATCAATAAAAACAAAAATATTTTCTCCCTTGTTCCATTACCTAGAATTCTATTAATAATGTTTATTTAACCACTGAGAAGTGATTACCTTTCTCTTAAGAAGAAAAATTCCATTCCAACCACAATTAATAAAACTGGCACTCTCTTAAACATGGAACTTCCTCTTATAATAGCTATTGTTATTACATCATAAAACCCAAGTTGAAATATTAATTGTCTAAGAGGAAAGACTGGGGGAGATAGGAAAGAAGTCTCAATTTACAATAAAGAATRAAGGAAGAAAGATACAGTGCTTCTACCCGCCTTTGTCTCTTACTTGTTAGGTATAAACTGGACTTAGGACAACATTATTTGAAACTGTTATTTAGATATTATTTCCTGGCAAATCAAATAATAGGTATAATGTAAATCAAATGATAGGAAAAGTGGCAGGCATAATTATTATATGTCAATTAAAAATTAAACAGGAAAGCTAGCTTCCTATTTAATAGCTCCTACTCTGAAGATTCTTACTAATTTCGATACCCATCACCTAGTAAACATTCAGATTATGAACTGATGCTTTAACAGTCTTCTTATCTAAAGTTTGAAACTGTTTGAACTTCCTTTAAAATTCTTATTTTGTTCAATAATTTAAAGAAAAATATTAGCAATCATAAGATTAAAACTGAAGAGTTGTGAGGTCTACATTGTTAAAATGCTGAATGACCTTGAACCAACAATTTGGACGATCTTTGCCCAGCTCTACTGTTCTTTTTTCATAAACTTACACAAAAAGAGTCGTGGAGTAC